CTTGTTTATATCATCAGATTGTAAAAATTAGATCCCTTTCGATGAACCCTAATATTTTTTTTTTTCACAGTTTTTACTTTAGAATTTTGTTTGATTTTGATCAAAAGTCTTGTGGAATTGTATAATGATCCTAGAACAAAGCCATTTGTGGAATTGTATGCAAGGGATCAAAACAAGTTATTTCAAGATTTTGCCAAAGCTGATGCAAAAGGTAAGTGCTTGTGTTTATGGGATCAAGACTGGGAGGAAAGGAGAGATTAGACGTCCTGTAAACTAGACCTGGCAATTCGTGTTTCGTGTCGTGTTTACATAGGGTATAAACACATATTAGGTCTGACACGAACACGACATGATTAATAATCGTGTCACGAAATCCAAACACGAACACGAGACCTGTTTATAAACGTGTACACGGGACACGACACGACATGACACGATTAATAGGTCTTGATATGACACGACACGTTTGACACGATACAATCTTTCAAATATTTCAATTAACTAAATTATATATATAATTATATATATATATTATATATAATTAAAGGTAATTTAATATATTTTTTTATAATAATTATTTGGGTATATTAGAAATTCAAAATATAAGTTATTTAAGGTTTTAATTAGGCGTGTCTAACGTGTCGTGTAACGGGTTTTTCGTGTCATCGTGTTAACCCGTTAATTAAAGCGTGTCACTCGTGTCTTAAACGTGTTAATCGTGTCTTGACACGATTACGACACGAAACACGATAATCTTAATCGTGTCCGACACGATTCAGACACGAGACACGATAAGCCAAACACGAACACGGCTAAACGTATCTCGTGTCGACCCCTGTCGTGTCGTGCCAGTACACGAATTGCCAGGTCTACTGTAAACTAATGATTTTTTTTATCAGCTGTTATTATTGTCTGAGGTGGTGATATTTTTTGTTTTCTTTCTTACTAAATAGTAAGAATTCTTTATGGGTTTTGAAGATTTTCTGGAATATGTATACTTGTTTTTTTGTTTTGTTTGTACCAATTATCACATCAGGCTTAAATTCTTATTCTGTGTTCGGTTTCAAAGATTCAATCTTCTTTCTTGTTGGTGGTCCTGGATTTGCTGCATGATTTTGATTCTGGAAAAATGGTAATATGGTGATTGTGATTCTGGAACATTTGATGAATTGAAGAAAAGGGGTGGAATTTTCTTTTTAAGAAACCGAAAGAGCCCTAAAACCGACCGAAACCGACATCGGTCGGTGGCTAGCGGTTTTAGGGGTCTCTCGGTCGGTAGTCGGTAGGAGCTCCCATGTCGGTCGGTGGTTGTTTTTTGGAAAATTTTACCACCGACCCGACCGAAACCGACCGACGCCCATCCCTAGTGGTTGAATTTTTAAGTGGTCTTAGAAAATTGGGAAGGGAGAGAAGATTTATTAATTAATTGTTTATAAAAATTTTTAAAAGGGTAATTATGCCATTTTAACTGAGTTTTACTAAATTTAAAACTAACTAATCATTGTCTTTGTGTAATATTACTAGTATTTCATTTATCTTGAATGGGAAGAGTACTAACTATAGTTTCAATGATTATGTTATCATTAATTTCCAAGAAATAAAAACTGTCTGTGTGTCGGCTGTCACCATCAGAGTCAACAAACTAGGAACTTTTTTGAATCCTCTGCCCCTTTTCTCACTTTGTGCTATGTACGGGATTGTTTTTTTTTGGTGATAGTTTCTCCATAATCTAGAATCTAAGCCACCTTTAGGAAACTTGGCTTTAAGTTTCACCTTTCAATTTTATTTTTTTTAAATACCCATTTTATTGAGGAGAGAAAAAAAAAACCCCAGATTTCTTTTCCTTTATCCTTTAAAATCTTTTTCTTTATCCTTTAAAATCTTCGACTTCTGTTCTTTCTATGGTTTTTGCCTTTTTGGCCCGATAATGTTGACTGGAAGTTGGTCACTTCCCACGATAAAGTACTCTTCCGAAACAATCTCAAATGGTAATATGTTATGTCAAAAGATGGCCTTTCTTTATTCTTACTTTGTAAAAATCAGCTGGATGAGGATTCAAAGTAGTTCATGGTTTGATTTTTGGCCAAAAAAAAAATTAATTGCTATAATAATAATGTAGTGTAGTAGTATAGTTTGAATTCCAATTATTCCATGAGATTTGAAATTGTAAAATTAATAATTTAATAAAACTTTGTAGTTTGTATTTTTCCCATTCAACTATAAGAAATATTGAAAATAACTAGACGATGACTTATTACAAATATCTAATAAATGTAGAATTTCATTTTCCTACGGATCATCTATCTTAGTCAAAATAAATAGATAATGTTTGACATTTCTTGAAATTCAAATCAATTAAAAAAAAGGGTTGAAATGCAAACCAATGAGATAGAAATGGTTTCAAAGTTCAAGCAAACGGGATAAGTAATTAAAAAAAAAACAGCATAATGGAGGATCAAATTACTCTAGAAGTATCAGCAAAATCATCAGAGGAATTGGCTGAATCTGGAGATGGTAACATCAAGTGTTAAATCCTGAGAGTTGATCAATTTGAACAGGCAGATATCATTCTCTTTCAAGGAATTATCGTCGACAAATTTTCTCCAACCAGAGTGTATCTTTCCATGGCGTGGATAATCAGATATCTTCACATCCCATGTTTTATCAGAAACTTTAAGTTTTATGTTATTCGCTCCATGACTCAAACGAATCTTCTTCGTGAATTTGTTTGTCACATTCTGCCAAAATAAATAAATAAATAAATAAATGTGCATGAAATGGAAAAGGCAAAAAACATATCTAAGTAACATACCAGATATGTGCCTTGCACATAAGTAGGCTGCATAGTCACTTTGAAATTAAGAGATTTGGACTTGAATTTCTTAGATTTCTTAAGAGCAGCCAAGTTAGTCTCTTGAGTTTCACTTGTGCCTTGTCCACCGCCACCCATGGTTGGTTGCCCTTCCTGTTGGCTTAATTCACTTGTGGCTTGTCCGCCACCATTAATGGTTGGTTTCTCTCCCTTTTGGGGTACATTATATTTCTCCCAAATATCTGGAGATACCCCTTTTCTGGAGCATTGTCTTCCAAATATGTCAAGGTTGAATTTGAAATCACCTTGATACTCAAAAACTATTAAACCACCAATGCCTAGCGAATTATCATGTACAAATTCCTTCCAACCCTCTCGAAAGTATACCTCATCCTTTGCCACGTTAACCACTTCAACAGCCCAAGATTTGCCATCACAGATCAGTATAAACCGATCTTCAGGTAATTTATTAACCAGACATCTCTGAAAGCCCTTTGCAAATTGAGGTGGCAGTTTCTATCAAACAAAAAACTAAGAAATTAAAAATATAAAACAATAATTATTATATATAAAAATAAAATAATACTAAAATTTCATACATATTCAGTCTAGTAGTTTTTCATACTCTCATTTACATTTTTCTAATTAATATTTATAAAAAGCAAAATTCAATATATAAATTGAGCAAAACCCTATTGTATGTATATTAATATTAATAATTACAATAAACACTTTATAAAGAAAGATTAATGTTTGAGATTCTTCGAAAAAAAAAATGGAACAATGAATATAAATGATAAGGTGGGAGAATTACCAGGTCAGTGGAGAAGTCACCGATTAAAACCTTGAAAAAAGCTGCCTTCTTTTCCATAATCACGAGCTATGGTCACGCCAGGGTTCAGTTGCAAGCAAGTTTTAATTTTGAGTTATATAATCATTCATGGCAGCGGTTACTGCAAGTTATGCCGGAGAAGGAGCTATAATTATCCCTTTTCAATTTTAATTTTAATTTTAATACCTAACAAATTACTCTATTGCTTAAAGGTCTTTTTTTCCTTTTGGTCTCTAAATTGAAAAAAAAAAACAAATCATTTTTTATTTTGAATTTCTCTAATATATCGGGGAGAAGGAGGTTTTTTTTTTGGCCATAACTGTCATTCCATATCATAAAGCAAAGTCAAGTACAAAAAGAGTTAAGGAGGGCCAGGGAGCCCATCCTTAGTAAGAATAAAAACCAAAGAGGAAGGGGGTCGAGAGACCCAATCATCATTGCACATCCCCTTGCGAGTAGATACTGCAACCCAATGAGCTGCTCCATTTGCTGACCTAGGCACCCAAATCATCTCCAACTCACGAATGCTCCTAGACCAGACTTTGATGTCCTGCACCAAAGGTTTAACTTCCCAAGCACACACACTGTCATCCTTTATGCAGTCAGTCAAAGCTTCTTGTGAGTCAGTTTCCAGGATTACTCTCTCCCATCTTTTCTCCTTTGCAAGTCTAATCCCTTCTCTGACAGCCATAACTTCCGCCATGTCGCAAGAAGAAGCTCTCACCTTTTTCCCAAGTCCATCAACAACCATTCCATTGGCTCCTCTAGCAATAACTCCCACAGCTGCTTCTCCCGTTTTGCAATCATACGCACCGTCGACATTGATTTTGATTATATCATTAGCAGGCGGAGACCAAGGTTCTCTCTTTTGAGTCCTGGTTAAAATTTTCTTCTTCTCTGTTGAATTTGCTGAGTGGTACTCCTGCCAAGCTTTTTCTGCTCTGATTAAAGTTCCCTTAGCATCCGGCTCCTTGCCATTAAAATGGACCTCGTTCCTCCCCTTCCAAATATACCAAGTAATGAAAGCAGCTCGAGCGGCTAAAGACATAAGATCCTCTTCATTAAGTCTAGTATCTTCAAAGCAATTCATCCACCAATCAGCAAAATTTGTAATAGCACCCCTATCAATTCTCATACTTGCACATCCCTCAAACCATACTGGAGTTGTCCAAGGACAGAGCAATAGCAAGTGTTTTACTGTCTCCACTTTCTCTTTACAAATCTGGCAGAAAGGTTCAGTTATTACCCTTTTTCTACAAAGATTCTCCATAGTTGGTAGTATATTACTTCCCACTTTCCAAAGAAAATTTTTAATTTTATTTGGGCATGAGATGCTCCAAATAAATTTCCAGAATTTCTCTGAAACAGTATGAGAGGAAGATGGAGCTTGCACATCCTGTCGATCCTCTTTCTCCTTATGCATATGATATGCAGATTTGACAGTGAATTTCCCCTTTTTTATCAAATCTCCATATATATCTGTCATCAACCCCAGTCTCGTTTATGGGCGTATCTTCTATTGCAGAAGCTTCCATATCAGAGATTCTATGAGCAATCAAATCCAGCCTCCATTTTTGTTGTGGCACATCCATGATGTCTTTGACTCTTCTCGGAATAACTTCATCATCATCGGGCTTATAGCCTAACTTTTCACCTTTTAAACCTGGAATCCAAGCCTGATCCCATAAATCAACATTCTCACCTGAATAAACCTGTGCAAATAAGCCTTCTTTAAGCAAGTCTCTCCCATGCAGCATACTTGCCCATCCCTAAGATGGCCTGGCACCCCTTCTGGCATTCATAAAGTCAGAGTTTGGAAAATAAAGCCCTTTTATAATTCTTACCCAAAAAGCATTCGGATTCTGAAGAATTCTCCAACTCTGCTTTGCAATCAAAACTTTATTGAAGAAATATAGTTCTCTGAATCCTAGCCCACCAACCTTCTTTGCTCTAGTGAGTTTTTTCCAAGATTGCCAACGAATCTTCCTCTTATCTTCATTATCACCCCACCAAAATTTAGCAACTATGGATTCAAGCTTTGAGCAGAAACCTTTAAAAATAAAAACGGCTCATAGTGTAACATGGGACTGCTGTGGCTACTGCTTTAATGAGTACTTCTTTACCTGCTTGGGATAAAAGCCCTTTCTTCCACCCTTGGATCTTCTTAATCATACGATCTTTTAAGAAACCCAGAGCTTCTTCTTTAGATCTCCCCCATACTGAAGGCAGTCCTAGATACTTCCCCGGATTTCCAGAAGTCTGAATGTTGAAAATATTTCCACATTCTTCCTTTACATGATCAGGGCAGTTACTGTTGAAGAACAGGCTAGACTTCTGGAAATTAACTTGTTGCCCCGAAGCTCTACAATATTGGGAAAGAATCTCTGCCATTCTTCTACAATTTTCAGGTTCTGCTTTCAAGAAAAAGAGGGAGTCATCTGCAAAAAATAAGTGAGACAGTATTGGGCACTGCGGTTTCATTCTTATGCCTTTAATTTCTCCATTTTCCACACTCCTAGAAATCATTTTTGATAACACATCAGCGCAAAAAAGAAAAGATAGGGTGAGAGGGGATCCCCCTATCTTAGTCCTCTAGATGGTAGAAAAGTTTTAGACAATCTACCATTTATCATTAAAGCATAACTAACAGAGGTCATGCACTCCATAATCCATCCAACCCACTTACTGTCAAACCCCATTTTGAGCATAACTTCTTTTAGGAAATCCCATTCCACACGGTCGTAAGCTTTATTCATATCAAGCTTGAGCCCCATTTCTACATCCTTCTTACTCTTTTTTAGCTTTAGGTGATGAAAAGCTTCATGTGCTATGAAGATATTGTCTTGTATCTGTCTCTGAGGAACAAAAGCACACTGACTTGGAGTGATGATATCAGTCAAAATTCCTTTCATTCTATTCACCAAAACCTTGGACAAAACTTTGTACATGAAGTTGCACAGGCTGATTGGGCGAAACTGTCCCACCTCCTTAGGATTATCAACTTTGGGAATTAAGACAATATTAGTCTTATTAAGCTTCTGAGGTAGAAAACCAGTTCTGAAGAACTCTTTGACAGCATTAATAACAAGATCCCCTACAACTTCCCAATACTTCTGATAAAAAATTCCCGAGAAACCATCGGGTCCTGGTGCTTTTAGTGCCCCCATATCAAAAGCTGCTGATTTTATCTCCTCCTCAGTCACCTCTCTGGTCAACATTTCATTCATATCATCTGTAACTACCTTATCCACATGGTCTAGAGCCTCCCTCCATTCTCGAGCCCCTGTACTTCGAAACAGGCTCGCATAATGGTTCAATAGCAGTCTTTCAACGTCATCTTCCTTTTCCACCCAATTTCCTGCTGAATTTTTTGAGCCTCAAGATCTTATTAGCACTCCTTCTCTGGATGGTGGTTAAATGGAAAACTTGGTGTTTTGATCACCATATTTTAACCATTTAACTCTTGACCTTTGGTTCCAAAACATCTCCTCACGTGCCCATATCCCCTCCAATTTAGCAATGATTAACTCAGCTTTCACCCACTCCTCTTCCGAATGACTGTTGTCTTGAATCTGGGCTAACTCCTTCATAAGAGTATCAATTTCCTTTCTGTTGTTTGGAAAAGACTTTTTGCTCCATGTAGTCAAGGCTTTTTTGCATTTCTTAAACCTTCTAATAACTTCCATTAACCAGCTATCACTTACTGTACCCTGCCATTCATTTTCAATAACAGTCTTGCACTCATCAGAGGTAGTCCATTGTGACTCAAATCTGAAAATGCGACTGGATTTCTTCTCATCAGGGTCCAAAGCAATGAAGATAGGGGAATGTTCAGACCCAACTGCAGGCAAATTAAAACATTGGGCAACACTGAATTTAGCCCTCCACTCCACATTAATGAAAGCTCTATCCAGCCTTTCTCTGATGTTAGCCTCTCTCCTATTCTGCCAAGTGAATCTCTGCCCTTTAAATCCCATATCCATCAAGCCACAGTCAAAAATAACATCATGGAATGGTAGCACTCTGCGGTTTTCTAAAGGTAAACCCCTCTCCTTTTCATCGCTAGTCATAACCTCATTAAAGTCTCCTCCAATAATCCAGGCTCCCGAGACAGAGGCTGCCACTTCTCTTATCACATTCCAGAATTCCAATCTATTTTCCAGAACTGGAGGAGCATAAATGCAAGTTAAAAACCAGCTCAACTTCTCCTTGTTCCTCACTCTCACATGAATTAAATTTTTGCTAATTTTTAAAACCTTCACATCCACATCATCCTTCCACCAAAGACATAAGCCACCTGATAAACCTTCAGGTTCCACACAAATACCATTAGCAAATCCAATTCTCCTTCTCATTCTATCAATTTTAACCTCTTTCATCCTTGTTTCTAGAAAGGAATAAAAAGGGAAGGGGCCTATACTTACTGTTTAAATCTTTTAGCTCACCCCCTGTCAGAGCCGGCCCCAAGCCCTGACAATTCCACATAATGGTACTCATAATGCTTTGGTGGCTGTTGCAGGACAGCCACCACAACCCGCAGTAAAAATCAAACTCCCATCATGGTTTAAAACAGGAACATCTTTTAGCCCCTTTTCGTCAAACTCCGTACTTCTTGCTATTGGACATATAGACCCATCTGATTTGGAATTTCTCCTTTTTCTCCCTAACCCCTTATACTTCTTCTGAATTCTTTTTTCATAGGTGAGCTCACAGAAGTAGTGGATCTGTTCTGGTTCTTCCTCAGATTGCCTATGTCTCTTCTCATAACAGATATCCATGTCATCTATGGATTGCAACTCCACATCTCTAGCTCTCTTCAGAAGCATGGCTCTCATATTAGCAGTTAAACCAGTATCACTAATAGACCTTTTTTCAGCAAAA